AATCCTTCCAGCCGCGCTATGGCCCTGGGGTTTACTCAGCCGCTAACCGAAATGAATACCAGAAATTTTCCATGGGGTTAAAGAGCGGCCGGCACGCAAGACTGACAGCATCACCGCCATCTGTGAGCCGATTGTCTAGAAAATGTGGGAGACTCGACGTCTCACAACCCTGTGGGCCTCGAAGACCTCTTACAGAGATAGATTTATTTTTCTGTAGTTTGGAAAACCTGTGATCAGTAGGTAAGAAAAAAATGGCGATAGCCTGTGTGGGCCTATTCTATTGAGAACGGATATTCGCTAGCGGATATGACCCGAAATTATGTGTGAGAACCATAAGTTTCATTTAATGTTTTAAACATTCCTGTTAGAGGAGTACTCAGATAAAGCGAATATTTCATCCAGCAAGTAGCCCTCCATGTTATGTTTCTGTGTTCTATGAAAGATACTCGCGTGCAGACCTGCCTGTTGGTTTTTTTTTATTGCTAATGGGGTGGGACTAAGTCCCTTGTACTGCGGCCACTTCTGGCCTATTGTACCAGACCCAGATGATAGGTGAGGGTGATTGTGGAGCAGTTGATGGAATGAGAAGATTGGCAGGGGAAACCGAAGTACTCGGAGAAAATCTGCCCCAGAACCACTCTGTCCACCGCAAATCCCACTTGACCAGACCCGGGATCGAACCCGGGCCGCCGCAGTGGGAAACCAGCGACTAACCGCTTGAGCTATGCCGCGGCCCCTGCCTGTTGGTTTACTTAGTAGTTGCAATAAATCAGTTTTATTGGCACAGCTGTACAGGATGTAAGCATCTGTGATAATCTGTGTGAGAGTTCCTTCAAGGCCAATAGCCTGCATTCCGTTCCCAGAGATGAGCACCCATCCAGCCACTTGAGTTGCCGTTGTTACAATGTTACGGTTCGAACTCTGCATTGTTTAACTACAAAAGCGGTACATTTACTACTAGCTTGCGAGATATGAAGCCGTGTAATCTGGTAGAAATTTGCCGACGTTTCGAAGGAACGTATTGCCTGAATTTATGCACCAGAGCTGATGAATGCTGCACATCTCTTAAGACATACGTAATGCCAACGAAAAACAATTACGTAATCCATCACAACTCGCATACCAAGATCATCCAAACTGCATTCTACTTTATCAATTTTCTTAAATTTACAGAATTTTTAATATTTCAACATTTTAATTTTGTAACTCGTCACCTTTCAATCTTTGGCATATCATAAGACAGTTACACGATACGTACCCAAATTTAACGAAAATATTTACATTTGTTTAATTTGTTAGTGTGGATTTATGTTTTTCACACAGTTCAGTAATGCAGTCGCTTGAAGATGATCACATTGCTCGAAACATGGAGTTGGTATTTATAATAAAAACCAATATTAGTTTTATTTACTCACAGATTGTTGTGCTGACTGCCACACAAATACCCATTACGAAAGGAGAATTAGTAGAACAAAGGATTTCTTTCGAAAAGACACATCTTGTATTCCTATTGAAAAAAAGAATCCTCTCAGAAGCCACATTTTCGAACCCGGGCAACTGGTAACCCTAGTCGAACCCTCATACAGATGCTGCGAAAAAAAGTTCATACTACGTACCTGGATTAAATTCATGCTCTAGTGTGAGTTATTACGGTTAGGTTTGTGTCGGTGATCATCTGTCCATTTCACAACCGTTTCTTTTAAATCTGTTAAGCAGATGTTTTATGAAAACTGCACAATGAGGAGCTTCATAACTTGTACTCTTCTCCAAGTATAATTAGAATGATCAAGTCATGGAGGATGAGGTGGGCAGGGCATGTAGCACGAATGGGAGGAAACGAGGAATGCGTAGATGATATTGGTGGGAAAGCCAGAAGGAAAGAGACCACTGGGAACACCAAGGCGTAGGTGGGTGGACAATATTAAAATGGATCTTAGAGAGATATGATGGGATTGTATGGATGGGATTGATCTGGCTCAGAATAGGGACCAGCGAACACGGTAATGAACCTTCGGGTTCCATAAAATGCTGGGAAATTCTTGAGTGCCATCACAGAAGCACGTTAGGACAGCTGACATTGTGAAACTACACTGCAACGCATCTGTGAGAAGACTGGCTTGCTCAGCTGCCTGGTAGTTGAGTTTCTTAGTCTTTCACAAGTTGCGTTGGAATCGCGTTGCCATTTCCTCAGTTTGATAAAATTTCTCGGAAATTTTGGTTGCGTTGCGGTTGCCAGTTTCCTTGGTGTTCAAGACGTTGAGCTAAGAGATCTCTCTCCATTAGTGAGACGACACATGTAATCTTCGACGGTAGATAAGCAGTTGCTGTGTAAGGGCGTGTAATCTGTTTGGGTGTATATACAAAGAAATTATATCTAAGATAAACAGCGTGTGTTCTGGGAATGAAAGGAGAAAAGGAAGAGCTTCTGCTCAAGTTGCCTAACAGTGATTACAAAAGGAGCAAGCCCACGTTTCCGATCGCATGCAAAAGGAGATGACTGTCTATATGCAAAAGTCTCCGGTTCAGTTCTCTCTTTACAAACTCCCGTACAGCATTAACCTCTAACCTTGTCCAATGCTTACAATATCTTGGCACGGACAACGTAGAAAACACAGTTCTTCAATTGTTGCATCTGTGTATGTTGAGGGCGTTATCTAACAATGGTCGCTGTTTGCAGAGTAGCCGCTTAGCAGCGGGTCTATACACCACAACATTCACCACCGTGAGAACGCCAAATCTCGCGTCTCCTTACGTACCGGGCTGCTTTTTCTGTCATGTATCTCTTCCATATGGCGTCATGTTAAACATTTTAATTTAAAACGTAGCCTATAGCACGCTTGCATTTGATTTACCAAGCTAGCATTTTGAACACACCTTTTGATACAGATCAGATACAATATGTACAGGGCAGATGACGCAGTATGCCCCTGATAACAAGTCTGTTACAGATAAAACACAACAAACAGTGAATTCGGCGGAGAGCGGATGTCGGCGTTAGGGGTCGGCTACGCACAGCGAGCACCCCCAGTTGTATTGAAGTGATTCAGATAAATGTGTCGGTCTCGTGTCACGTCTTGGCTTCGCCTCTATGTCTCGCTAGTGTTAGGGATGGCAGGAGCCCTAACCGAAGGCAACAGGACCGCGTGTCACTACCAGGTCACTTCTAGTATCCAGACAAAAACTCATTTATACAGAGTGTCCCATGAAGAAAGGTCAGTATTCTGGGAGACCATAGTATCGGTCGTTATAAACAAAAAGTGTATATGTACATGTTTCATAATCCGAACGCTTTCCGAAAGTGTATATGCACATGTTTCATATTCCGAACGGTTTCCGAAAGTGTATATGTACATGTTTCATAATCCGAACGCTTTCCGAAAGTGTATATGTACATGTTTCATATTCCGAACGGTTTCCGAAAGTGTGCAGTACATGTGTTCTATTCCGAACGGTTTCCGAAAATGTATATGTACATGTTTCATAATCCGAACGGTTTCCGAAAGTCAGTACTTACATGTGTCCTATTCCGAACTTTTTCCGAGCTACGGTTATTTCACTGTACAGTTCCAGAACTGTTGATAAGAAAGAGATATTACGTACTGTCTCTAATTCCGGTATTTGTTGTTCACAGTGTACTGTGCAGTGAAATGGCTCTATCTCGGAATATGATATATTTACGTATACAATTTATTGCTTAGAATGACCGATACTATGACCTCTAAGAATATTTACCTTTCTTCCTGGGACATCCTCTATATGTTTGTGGTTGTTGGTCCTTTCCCCTAATTCTTTCAATAATGGTCCATATTAATTGTGTTCTTTATTTCTCTTTTAACACGCCTTCTGAATTTGTTTTATTTATTTATTATTTATTTTTTTATTTATACAGTGAATTGCATATACGAGCAGGAAGTTCCACAGACAGGGCAATCCCAGGTGCTGCGGCCTCCTATTACTTACTGAGGTTTGGTAACTAATAAATATATGCCGTTATGTGAGTGGTTACGCATGCGGACTGAAATTCCTGCGCATGGATTTCGGAATGAGAAGGGGAGAAAACCACGCATGTTTCGCCTCCTCCTGGGTTCCTGGGGAGAATCTAAATTGGAAACAATTCTTTTATTGCTAGTGGGGTGGGACTAAGTCCCTTGTACTACTGCCATTTGTGACCTATTGTACCAGCCCCAGATGATAGGTGAGGGTGATTGTGGAGCAATTGGTGGAATGAAGATTGGCAGGGGAAACCGAAGTACTCGGAGACAACCTGCCCCAGAGCCACTTTGTCTACCACAAATCCCACTTGACCTGACCCGGGATCGAACGTGGGCCGCCGCGGTGGGAAGCCAGAGACTAACCGCTTGAGCTATGGCGCTGCCAAACAAAATATTAATACCAGTCATCAGAAACTGGAGGATCTGGAGCACAGCTTTCACCGCTATCAATACACACAGCTGTAGGCCGATCCGTAAACTTCTTAGCTAAATGTTCGTAATCAAATTTTCTGGCTCCCCCGCCCTTGGTGAAATTGCAGGTGGTCATACAGAAAGATGGCCTGAAACGCTGGCATTATTCGAAACGTGTATGAGTATCACAAGTGCGGAAAACTTGCTGGATCTCTTTGCTTCCTACAGCATATACCGCGGAAGAATTCAACACTACGAACTTTCTTGCATCTGAATTGTCCAAGTTTTACAATTCGGCTGCCATATTTCATTGTTCGCAGTCAGGGTTGGTAGTAGCTACGGGTAGGAGCAGACGATGACAATATGGCATAACTGGTAACAGTTACGAACACGGAATAGAGCAGTACTTAGTGGCCCTGAATCTTTGGGTCATCATATTATAATAAGTTTAGTATCTCTGTACATGTAGCTGACAAAATGTGTATACAGCAAACCCGGATTATCAGAACTAAACTGAACAGAAGGAATTTCGGACAACCGAAATATGAGTGCACCGTGTGCAGCTCGCTGTCTCACCCTGTATATTCTCTGTTACAGGAAAACGATGTTACCAAGCCATGTGAACTGTTCCACAAAATAGGTAAGCAGGCAGAAAAATATATTTTTACATTTGTGTAAATAATACCATTACAATAATAACTGTAACAGGCAGGGGAGGCCCTAGCGTAGTTAGTTGAGGCACTATGATACAAGCCGGAAGGTCGCAGGTTCAATTCCCGATGAGGTCATTGGATATTTCAGTTGACCTAAACCTTCCAGCCGCACTATGGTTCTGGGATCGACTCAGCCTCTAACAGAAATGAGTACCAGGAATATTCCTGGGGGTAAAGGGCGGCCGGCGCGTAGGGCTGACAACCTTGCCACCATCTATGAGCCGATTGTCTATAAAATGTGGGAACCTCAACATCTCACAACCCTATGGGCCTCCACGTCCTGTTACAGGGATGGCTTTACTTTTTACTTTTTACCACAATAACTATGTGTTTAGTTCATCGAAATATTATTGATAAACCATTCGTACTCTTCAGATCGCTTCCTTTCCTTCCGTGCGTCTTATATATGTGGCAGTAATGCGATTGTGAAGAGACTCGGTAGGGAGATTTTCGGGGATTTACACTTTTGGGACCCTTATCTATATGAACACAGTCAGTTTTGGAATTCCATCTGTGTATACGTATGTAGTATGCATGTACAAGGGTTGGACAAAATAATGCAAACACTGCAGATGCTGTACACGTCTCATTATTAACATGATGTTGGACCAACTTTGCCTTCAGCAGAGCAACAGTCCTTCTTGAAATAGACTAACATAAGATTTGAACAGTCTCTAGCGGAATTTTATACCATTCTTGTTGAACATTACCTCCAAGTTGCTTTAGAGACGTTGGAGGTGGGAACCTGTTCCTCACTGTAGTCTCCAAAACTGATCAGAGTGGTTCAGTAATGTTCAAATCTTATGTTGGTTCTGGCCAGATAAGATTTTAAGTTCACCCTCATGCTTTCCAAACCATGACTGAATAGTTTCAGCTGTGAGTATTGTGGGGCATTATCTTGGGAAACTGCATTGTTGTTCAGAAGTAACGTTTGGATCATTGAGTGCACCCGATTACCCAACCTGTCCCCCTAATCCCTTGCAGTAATTTGGCCATGAAGGGTAATAATGGGACCAACAGAAACTGCACCACAATATTGCTGCCCAAACCGTCACAGAACCTCCCTTGTGTCACTTTTGGAACCAGGCATTGCGCAATGTAGGCTTCCTTAGGTGTTCACCAAACGTAAACTCTTCCTGATGTAGGGAGCAGCACGAAGGGCGGCTCATCTGCCCATATCACACTTCCGTTTCCTGTTGTCTGATGTCCAGGGTTTATGGTCGTGACACTACCGTTTGTGCAGCTGAACGTTGCTTTCAGTAATCAGAGGTTCAGCAGTTGCAGCCCTACCGTGGATGTTGGATTTGTGAAGCTCACGTCGGGCGGTTTTTGTGGAAACAGGGTCTTCAAGATGAATGTTCAGTTCTGTTGTCCTGTCACCTGTGCTGCAGTAATTGTGTCACTCTTCGAAACAGTCATTCTCAATGCATAATGATCTCTCTCTCTCTGTTAATGCTGATTTCGCCCACTGTTCCTCTTTGCTGGTACCACTCGTGTTTGCTAAGACACGTACAAAACTTAAGCAAGCCGCGTTCTTCGAATTTAGGTCTGAGTTCATCATTGCAGTGTAGGTTGGTTAGTTCAAGATCTCAGTGGTTTCAGCCTCATTACATGACGCTCCAAGAGGCTAGAAAATATATTGTGGCGCATAGACCCGTTGCTAGGCAACGACAGCGATACAACAGCCGCTGCTAGGCAGCGGCCAGAGTGCCGATGGACTGGTTGGAAAGCGGTGTTCCATGCGCGGTCCGTACCGATGGTTACGGACGCAACAATGGATACAACAGATGAATTGTGTTTTCTCTGCGGTCCGTGCCTAGATTTTTAAGCAGGGCAGTTTAGTTAAGTACAGTGGAATGAAATGGGTTGGTGAGTGAGCTTGTTAGAGGACTGTTGCAGCTCGGTCGTTATAAGGTGTTGCTGTTAAAAGCTATTTGCAGTTATGACCAGTAAGTGGTCAGTAATATTTATTCACCAGTCCAAACTCCTTCTGTGGTCACACATAATACGTGACAGTAATAATATACTTGCTTTGTAAAGCCAGTGATCCAAAATATCGTTGTTGAAATGTCAATTATATTTACTTGTATGTAAATCTGATATCTGTACGGATTCAGTTGTGCGCTTTCAAAGACACTGGTCCTATAAATACAAACCACTCCGCCCAGTGTGACATGTAAGTTGTTACTACATTAAAACGTATCTCCCTTACATGTTTCGGTCCTTACGGACCATTTTCAGAAGGAACATCATTACAAACTGGAAACTACCATCACAATAGGTGTTTTGATTTAAAATACACTTATGTCCTATAAAGTCGAAGGTTTCACAATCACAGCAGCTTCCTGGCGTTGTAAAGTTTTTAAAAGTTTCTAGATGTTATTTAAAAAACCTGTATTATTGTCAATAGTTAAAATTTTTTAAACCACGTAGGTTCGTGTCCGTACTCCTACCGCCCTTCTTGTATGGGCAGATTTTGTGCCGCCATCTGTCTTGATGAGGAGGTTCTTGATGTCGTCCAGGGTTTGCTCGTGGCTTGCTGTGTTGTTTTCACGTTCGACTTTATGCGTACTGTGCATTATAGGATATAAGTGTATGTATTTTAAATCAAAACACCTATTGTGATGGTAGTTTCCAGTTTGTAATGATGTTCCTTCTGAAAATGGTCCGTAAGGACCGAAACATGTAAGGGAGATAAGTTTTAACGTAGTAAAAACTTACATGTCACACTGGATGGAGTGTTTTCTATTTATAATTCTTAGTGTGACGGACCAGAATGAAACAAATCGAAAAAACACTGGTCCCATTTTCAGCCTCTTCTCATTCCAGGATGCCAAAACATTTCCTATAGTCCCAGAACTTGTGAAGGTCGCTGTGAACTGAGCAAAATGAATGGGCAGCCGTACTTCTACCTGACCATCTCTACACTCTTCGGCAGAGAAGGTAGGTGTCACAGATAAGCTCAAATGGCACCGATGTTCCAGCAAGGTAAGAACAGACGCCATGGAGCTTACCTGAGAGATTCATTTTTGCTAGTTGAGCTTGGAGTAAAAGTAAAGTAAAGCTGTCCCTGTACCAGGCCGTGGAGGCCCATAGGGTTGTGAGAAGTTGAGGGTCCCACATTATCTAGACAATCGGCTCAGAGATGGCGGTAAGGTCGTCAGCCGCACTTTGCGCCCCAGGAAAATTATTTAATTCCTGATACTCATTTCTGTTAGAGGCTGAGTCGACCCCAGGACCATAGTGCGGTCGGAAGGATTAGGTCAATTGAAAAAATCCAATGACCTCATCGGCACTTGAACCCTCGATCTTCCGGATTGTATCATGGTGCCTGAACCAACTACGCTACAGCGTGCCCCAGTGTTGAGCTTGGAGGTGAATTTATAATACCAGCGCCTTCTGAATCACACAAGATGTATTCTCTGATTTCGCAGACTCATTATTATTAACATGTTCTCTAACATTTTGCCACTTCGTGCCCCAAAAGGCGTAGTGTAATGCGGGTGGCCTGTCATCACTACACGTAGGTTCGAAAAGGCATTTTGAAGTGGGTACGTGTCACGTTACCACCACGCGTATTGTCGGAAGCAGTTTGTGTTTTATCCTCCTCTGAATTTATAAGTTCGTAATATGCACGCGGTAGCGTAGTTGGTTGAGGCACTATGCTACAATCCGGAAGGTCGCGGGTTCAAGTCCCGATGGGGTCATGGGATTTTTTTTCAGTTGACCTAATCCTTCCGGCCGTTCTATGGCCCTGGGGTCGACTTAGCCTCTAACAGAAATGAGTACCAGGAATTAATTAAATAATTTTCCTGGGGAGTAAAGCGCGGCCGGCGCGTAAGACTGACAACCTTACCACCATCTTTGAGCCGATTGTCTAGATAATGTGGGACCGTCAACGTCTCACAACCCTATGGGCATTCACGGTCTGTTACAGGAATACCGTTTTTTTAATTACGAGCTAGAAGTATTCATTTATTATAATTACCAATCCAAACTCCGTGTGTGGTCACTAAAATCGTGACAATGTCATTTTAAGTGAATCATCGGTTAGTTATCCTGATCAGTAATATAAAGGCAGACTAGTCGAAAGGTGCGTGCAGTTTCACAGAGCACGCGTGGCGTGCGTCACGTTCGGTTATATTCTTAACAATTGTCCAATGAAAATACGCAAATGATAACAAAAATGTTATCTTCTGAAGGTGCAGCTGTTTCTGGGCGCGCTCCCATGCATGATCGATTAAGGCCGGAGGTGGGCCGTCAGAGTCATGCCTAAAGCACGCTTGGCCTTTGTACAGCGCGGAAGCCGCAGACCGTTGTGGACATGGTCGTGAAACAAAGAACGCTAGCATCCCTTCCGTCCACGGAAGTCTCCCCGTCATATGCTTCGCAGCCAGCGTAGTCAGCAGGTGTGTTGTTCATGTGACGCATGCGTACACGAGTTCACTTGGGTCAGCAAGTAAATTGTCCTAATGTATTGTCATGTGACGAGAATGACTATAGTTCGGATGACTGGATTTATTAGCACCTCGGTTACAGCCTCTCTTAATCACGTTTAATTACAGCGCTGTCGCTGATTGCACACTTTATAATTTACTGTTACACGCACACTAGTCCTCTCCTGGCGATGTAATTAAAACGCAGCAACAGGCCCTTCAGATCACTCCAAATATTACGCATGAATAAAGATTTATAGTCACAAACGAAGTCTTCACACGAAGAAATTTCCGTGGCCATCTTACACCGAGACCTGAACTGAACTGAACTGAACTGAACTGAACTGCTGTCGGCTCTTTTGTTATATAGCTTCCGCACGGACCACGCACAGAAAACCCAGTTATATTGTTGCATAAGGAAGACCACACAGAGAACAATTCACGTGATTGCTAGCCAGGATCTTCATTGTTACGCTGTTTCCTAGCAACGCGCAGTAATATTCCTCTACTGAGACACATCATCTGTTGTTGCCTTATGTGTATTCAGTCGCGTAGTGTTTACCGGTCCGTTACCTAGCAACGCTCTGGCGATCCACGTTACAATATGTTGCCAAGGTCTCTCGTGTCAAGGTTAAACGAACTCGAATGATCCCGGAGTACGACGAATTTTTTGGACGTTCGGAAGACAGGCAAGCAGAGGCACGGACGGACAGACAGACAGGCAGGCACGTGTAACCGTGAAGCCTTCTTCGCCTTATGTAGACACGTGTAGAAAGCCTAATAACCGAATCTTTATTGTGTTCCAGGATTCCTTGGGGTAAAAGGAACAGATGACTGTTGGAAGTTCAAAGTGGGCAACACGTCAGACCATGAGAAACACGTAATAATGGATTTGACCTTCTTCCCTGAAACATCTCTAAAAAATGTACGGATTTATCGAGGTAAATCAGAACTACAAAGTTTAGATGCCTTGAACTTACTCTGTCTTGCCTGCTTGTTTCGTCCGTGAAATTGACTCATAGCCTACATTTGTAATTAGCATGGAAGCCTACTGCTTTTAAATTGTTAGTTCAGAAGACATCTGCTTGATGAAATGAGCCCTTCAGTTACATTTAAGGATGCTGCATGATAGAATTTCTATAAGAGATGTCAGTGAAACACTTGTGGTTTCGATATTATTCTTGTGTGCTGACACGTGGCAGCCATTTCAAGTTATTCATCTGATTTGATTAATTGAGTTGGAGGAATGATAAATTGAATTTTCTCTGCGTATGTGAGCTACATAACAACAATATTATTTTGTATTACTATTTATCCCTGTAATTGGCCGTGGAGGCACATAGGATTATGAAACGTCGAGGATCCCACATTTTCTAGACAGTCGGCTCACAGATGGCGGTGAGGTCAGCCTCACGTACCGGCCGTCCTCATACCCTAAGAATATTCCTGGTACTCATTTCTGTTAGAGGCTGAGTAGACCCCGGAGCCATAGTGCGGCTGGAAGGATTAGGTAAATTGAAAAATCCAATGATCCCTATCTGGAATCGAACCGACAGCCTTCCCGCTTGTAGCACAATGCCTCGACCAACTTAGATTCGTAACTGGCCCTTATCAAAATCAGAAGCAGCACTGCTTTTGTTGGTAAGCCTGTCTCTAAAATCGGATTTGACATCATCGGAAATTGTTATAACCACAAGTGCAATTGCTTTCCGTGTTAAAAATGTTGCTCGCAGTTTGTTTCAGTCTTCTTCCACTTCCACTTCCACTTGAGCAGTTGGTTCAGGTTCAGACCCTACGAAACAACAGCGTTCTGTTCCCTCATTACACTCTCTTAGTTCAAGAAACTTCTCACATTAAAATGAGCCAGCAGTAAATTAAACTGAGCCCACTTCGAGTTAGCTGAATCGAACAGAACACTTCAGCTTCGGAGTCTGCAGTTTCAAAGCGAGGTTTCTCGTGGTACCTGAGGTTGGAGGAAAACCTCTCTGCTCCTTTTCCAGTAGCAGGCTTACTTCATGCAAGTCGCGAGAGACACTTCTCTTAATGCAATTTGTGAGACTAATATTAATCATTTCCAGAACTTTTCCACAGGAACACCAATTGATATGAAGAAAGCAGTCTTCTGAGATGTGGCACCGTGTAGATGTGTTAACCGACGTTTCGAAGGAACTTATCGCCTCCATCTTCAGAAGGAAGAAGGAAAAATAGAAGGAAAAATAAGAAATCCGCAAGCGAAGAGACTGTGAGAACTGGTACAAGCAGACTTGTTGTCAACACCACATCTACACGGTGCCACGTCCTAGAACACTGCTTTCTTCATAGTCACAGCCGTGAAAACCTCAAATCTTACACCAATTGATATGTTTACTTTTAGAAGTTATTCAATTCTGTCATAATCTATGAATGTGCAAGTTTCTATGTTAGAATAAGAATATTTTTCTAATTTGATGCAACGAAAGTAAATTCAAACTCTTGTCTCTTCCAGATGGTGGGCGGTGCGATTATCTGTACAGTAGTAAGTACTCTTTACGGCAAATGCGTGAAAAGTAAGTTCTTATACCGCACATGGTCACGTAAAAATATGGGGTACTTTATTTCGTTTGCATGAGTGAGGGAGGCTACATTGTATTAACCCGATAATGGAACCTTAAATTTAATTTCACATATTCCATTTTGCTATTGGTATCATAACCTCTACACTTTAACTGAACTGTACTTCCTGAACACCTGTAGAGGTAGGTAGTTAGTTAGTTATTTTAGAGAGGGTGGGTTTCCCCATGCACCGCGACCAGTTTCATTTATTGTGCTTCCCTCTATGATATTCTACCAGTCTCTTTACCCTACCGATAAATGATGCGTACTATCAGTCCCGCCGAGCAAGCGAGTTTGGCCACTTGCTTAGCGGTATCTATAATGCTTTCCCCATCTATCAGAGGCCTTAGAGGCTATTGTTGGGCGGGAAACGTCCTGGAATTTGGCTCAGTGATCCCCTTTGGGGATATGAGGTTCTTTTACGTGCCGTAAAGTTACGACACGGGACACACAGCTTAAAGTCCCTCCCGGAGGACTTGTTCCCTGAATTTTTCCGCCCTTAAAAAATTCGACGACCTCCGCCGGGTATTTGAACCCGCGTACCACGAGTCATGAGGTGGGAACGTTACCTCTAGACTACGGAGGCCGCTACCTGTAGAGGTAACATCGCCATTATCATAAGCAAAACAGCTTTTTTTTAGCCATAGCCTTAGAACATTCTGCCAGACCACATAAGAGTTTCACTCCTTTGGACTTCGCAACAGTATTCTTTTACAGAACAAGGTCGTCAGCCTTGTGTGCAGTCCCTAGCCTGGAACACCACAGCCCTATATCTATGTCCCCCCAGTGAGAGGATGGCCCAGTTGTGGCCCCAAACCTTCCCCTCTACTACTCGCACAGGGGAGATGGAGGTATAACTCCGCTGTTCTGAGTCTCAGTACCAGAAGGAGGTGACCACTTTGTCCAACCCCTAGGTAAACAACCCCCTCATATCCAGTGTAGAGCAGGCTACGTAGCAGTCACGACGCTATGTAGAAGACAATATCTTGTTGCCCATTCCAAGAATCAAACCCCGATTTCTGAGTCATCCATCCCTTATCGTAGTTGCTGTACCCACTAAGCCATTCTGGTTCTCGGTGTAGCAATGGGCTACAAGCTGGACGGCCAGCTTCATAACTTGTACTCTTCTCCAAGTATAATTAGAATGATCAAGTCAAGGAGGATGAGGTGGGCAGGGCATGTAGCACGAATGGGGAGACGAGGAATGCGTATAGGATATTGGTGGGAAAGCCAGAAGGAAAGAGACCACTGGGAAGACCAAGGCGTAAGTGGGTGGACAATATTAAAATGGTTCTCAGATAGATAGAATGGGATGGTATTGATTGGATTGATCTGGCTCAGGATAGGGACCAGTGGAGGGCTCTTGTGAACACGGTGATGAACCTTCGGTTTCCATAAAATGCTGGGAAATTCTTCAGTAGCTGCAGAATTGGCAGCTCCTCCAGAAGGGCTCAGTTCCATGAGTAAGTAAGTAAGTAAATAATGAACGGTTAAGTATGGATTACAGACTGATAAAAAAATGACGTGAAGATATGCACTGGGTTCAAGTGACTGAATGGGCCTGCAGGTCCAAATCTGGAATCGTGTGATGATGAAGTTTCCGGTTGCCAGGCAGCGATAAATCTGCCGACCGGCTAGATAAGAGACATCTGATAAAGAACGGTACTATATTCTGGAGTCAGTGACATGTTCAAGAAATAATGTGTATTTTTTAGGCCGCGCCATAGCTCAAGCGGTTAGTAGCTGGCTTCCCACCGCGGCGGCCTGGGTTCGAGCCCGGGTCTGGTCAAGTGGGATTTGTGGTGGACAAAGTGGCGCTGGGGCGGGTTTTCTCCGAGTACTTCGGTTTCCCCTACCAATCTTCATTCCGTCAATTTCTCCATCATAATCACCCGGGTCAGGTACAGTAGGCCAATCAGTGGCCGCCGTGCCGAGTGGACCCAGCTGGACTCCACCCCCAACTAAGCGAATTAAAAAAATATGTATTTTATGTTGTTTTTTTTTCAGTGAAAGCTTGGCATTCACGTTGACACCTGCTCCCAGTGTTCGAGAAGTGAAGTTAATTGTCTCTAGTGGGGATTGTGAAATAAACTGCAACGGAAGTGAAAACAATTGCGATACGTTTTCGGAAGAACATACAATGAAGGATGTAAGGTTCTTTGATGTCAGGAGAGACTTTGTGTCAAGATTTAGAATTACAAGACACAGAATATGATTGTCAAATTTTGCTTTACTACAAAGTTTTGGGATTGTTTTAACATACACAATTTCTAAAGCTTCCGTTATGAAAGCTTGACTCAGAGGAGTACAGGATCTTGAAGAGATTATTGACTTCCGGGTACCAAGTTTGTAATATTAATGGTTCATTTGCATTTTTCAGTTCTCGAAACCACTGCTCATCCCAGTTGGGTTGCAACGCTACCATTGCATTAGCGTAAGTATTGTCACATGTTGCGGGTTTGCGTGACTTATGGAACGGGGTTTGGGGTTTGGATTTGGTGATCCAATCTATTTGGACCTTTTTAGAACTGGTTACAGCAGTTCACAAATCACTATCTTCGACTGGACACACTCGACTTCTGTCGTACTGCACTAATCCGCTCCTCGCTACTGAACTGAACTACTCTCTCGCTCTCTCTCTCTCTCACACACACTCACTATCTCTTTTCTAGCCTGAATCTCATTTTCTCCTTGGCACTACAGCCCCAGTGGGCCTAGGCCTACCTCCATGAACTTCTCCGTTCACTTCGGTTTTTCTAGATCTTACACATTCGGTAGGACTCCTTGGGTGGGTGATCAGCTCGTCGCAAGGCCTCTACCTGTACACAAACACAGAAAAAC